CCGTAAGTTGGATACAGATGTCTAGATAATTATTCAATTCTGTCGACAGTGGGATTTGAACCCTAGACCTCTTGCATAGCTGTCTGACAACCTATCTACCACACTAGATCACTAGACCTCTTTTCTAAAGATTAATACACATTTTCTTCTAAGAACTTATGACTATTTGAGTGATTTACCTCCAGCTGTAGAGAATATAGCTATAAATAAAGATATGTTGTGTCCTTATACTACAGAGCTTGTAGATAACTTAGATAGTGGATGTTTCTCAGCTACAGAAAAATTAGTACTTCATCTTAGTTCACGAAAAGAATATGTTATTCATTACTTAGAGCTTCAATACTATGTAAAATTAGGTATGATAGTAGATGAAGTAATAGAAATTTTATCTTTTAATTAAACTAACTGGCTCATAATCTATATAGCTTTTAATACAAAAAAGTAACAAGGTGCTAAGAATGCTTTTGAGAAAGATTTTTTTAAACTCATGAATAACTCAGTATATGGCAAAACTATAGAAAATATTCGCAAATACCAAGACATCAAGCTTATAGCTATGAATAATGAGTAAGATGAAAAGAAATTTATTAAGCAAATCCATAAATCCTCTTTTAAATATGCTAGACAGCTAGAAAATATACTTGTTAGAACATATATGGGAAAAGCTAGTGTAACTCTCAACAAGCCTATTATTGTCAGAGTATCAGTTCTTGGCCTTAGCAAACTTTTAATATATCACTTCTGATATGGATATGTAAAAGAAAGATATGGTAATAAAGCCTAGCTTGGATATATAGATACAGACTCATTTATATTTCAGGTTGAGACTAAAGATATCTATAAGGATATGGCTGAGCAAGCTGATCTCTTTAACCTTAATAGGGATGCAACTATTAGCAAATTTAAATATGAAACTCTAAGCAATATGATTACAGAATCCTATCATATTTAGACCAAATCTTATTACTATGTCTTAGCAGATAAGTCTACAAAATTCAAGCATAAGGGGGTTAGCAAAAAAGTTATAAATAAAATAGCTACAAATTTATATATGCCAGCTTTAGAAGGGTCCTTGCTAGATGATCTGATAAATAGATCATTATTATCAGAACAAGAAGCTATGCGAACTGAGGCAGATCTTATGACTCTAGTATATCAAGACTGTCTTTTTAGTAATGAAGTATTCTATGCTAAAAATGTAGGTATCCAATCAAAAGACCATATTTTATCTTTGGTCGAATCAGAAAAGAAGGCTCTTTGCCCTATAGATACTAAGTGTTGGATATTATCTGATAAAATAACTAGTTTTCCATATAGTCATTAGCATATACAAGCATATAAAAATTTATATCAAATAGAATATCTCCAGAGTTGGCTGAAGAATGAGCTTTAAGAGTTAAGCTCTTAAAGAGGTATCAAAATAAATATGTATCTTATATATCTATAACTCTTTGAGTCACCCCTATGAGCCTACTTCATAATAATCTATTTATTTTTTTTTTTTTTTTAATTTCAACCCGTGGGTTGAGGTAAGGTCTTGCCTCTATCTTTATTGGGTAAAATATAGTTAAGAGTTTATATGAAACTACTTGGTAATAAATTACATGCAAGAATTGAAGCTCAGACGATAATA